AGTCTAGCTGTAAGGATGTAGGCATATTAGGTAAAGGTAAAGGTTCCCTTGCTCGAAAGCCAGCCGAGTCCGACTCTAGGGTTGCGGTGCTCATCTCCGTTTCAAAGCCGAAGAGCCAGCGCTGTCCGAAGACGTTTCCGTGGTCATGTGGCCGGCATGACTAAACACCAAGGCACACGGAACGCTGTTACCTTCCCACCGAAGTGGTACCTATTTATCTACTTGCAATTTCTTGCTTTAGAACTGCTAGGTTGGCAGGAGCTGGAACTAGAGACAGGAGCTCACTCCGTCATGCGGCACACTCGGGTCTCGAACTGCTGAACTACTGACCTTCCACAGCCTGCAGTTCAGCGTCTTAGCCACTTGAGCCATCCTGTGTACCTTTTCCCCATGCTAGGTTGTAGTAAACTTTTATTCTTTTAAACACACCATGGACTCTGCCTCTTTAATACTCTGCTGATTTACTTTAAAATTAAGAATACCTAACAATCAGCTGTGTAACTACCACACTCTAGTAAAGCGGTAATAGGATCTTAGGTTCTGGGGAAAAGTTTCTGTACAGGGGGACCCCCCCCCCAAACAGAGTTTGCACAAACCAGTATAACAGCAGAAGCCTGGCTGGGACCCACTATCATTGCAACCCACACACTGGGAAACACTGCTGTAGGGTACGGAGGTTGTTCCCTGACTATCAGACCTGCCCTCCCCTTCTGTCCTGCTGTGCTGCGCAGGGAAAGGCCTAGGTACTGCATCTTGTTCCAGGAAACCCACCGAGTGAGAGAAGAGAGGGATGCAAAAAAGTAGGAATGAGTTGGGGTCTGCTCCCCAAATAGCTGTGAAACGAAACATGTCCACCAGAAATCCAGGCATCAGTCCACTCCACCACCTTTGCGACCCACATCTGCTCCAAATGTTTATTCCCAACTGGTCATTGGGGCCCCAGGTTATTACCTGCTCTGTCCTCTGCTGTGGTGAAATGCCATTTTTTCTCTGCAGTCAGAAGGCCTGGACTTCAGCAGTTGTACAGAGTGGTCGTTTTGAAGCCTGTTTAATGAACAAGTCATTATTTGTTTGATTCGTTTACACCCCACCTTCCTCCCTAATGGGGACCCATCATTTCCTTCTCCTCCATTTAACCTCTAAACAAACCGGTGGGGTAGGTTTGGTCGAGAGAGGGTGGCCCCTGGGGCCAGCAAGATCCCATATGGCACAAGTGGGGATTCAAACCTTCCAGCGACTAGTCTGACACTCTTTTGTTTTATTTCTGTATTTGCGTCTCTGTGTGTGCCTGGAAGTCATGGCTGACTTCTGGCAAGTGGCAAGCCCTACTGGGGCTTGGAGGCAAGGACATTCAGAGAGGTAGCTTGCTGCCTGCCGCTGCATCCGGGCCTTGGTATTCTCTGGAGGTCTCCCATCCAAGTACTTGCCGCAGTCAGCTCTGCTTAGCTTCTGAGATCTGACGAGATTGGCTTGCCTGGGCTATCCAGATCTTAACCACTACACCAAACTCAAGTCCATGGACATATTATAGAAGGCAGATTGGACTTGTTGAATAAGTATTTTTGCTAGATTTGCTGGGGTTTTTTTTAAAAAAACAATTTGGTTCTCACATACTTAAAACACACAAATCAGTTTGATAATGCTTTGAGGCACCTTCATGATTATAACAACATTCTGTGACACAGACGAAAACCAAATGCACACTCTGGTTTTTGAAGACGTGTTTTTACTAGACGTTTACACCAGCTTGAAAGGTCAAAGCAGGCAGATTAGATCTGGCAGATGAGAATAGCAGCAATGGAAGCCTAATCCAAGCCTAGAAGTTCAGTCTGATTTCTTACACTCTTAGGCCCCAGCCAGACGTGCCGGAAAACGCACGCGCGTGGGGGGGAAGCGTGGCTATTTGCGCCATCGCGTTCTGATGCGCTATTATGCGATCAGACGCAACGGCGGCTTCCCCGCAGCAAAGAGGACGACGGGGGAGGAAGGCACGGGCCGGCGCGATCACACTGGGAGGCTTCCATAGGCGGCCTGTGGCAAAGCGTTTGCTAGTACATGCGGTGTACTAGTTTTTTACTGCGCTGCTTCGGCGGCTTGCCACTGGGTTGCCACAGGAGTGCTACGCCCCCCAGATGTTCCCGTGTGCTCGCGCCCAGATACTCCGCGGGACTCCCGTGCCTTCAGTGGGGCAAATGCTCAGTGTGACCGGGGCCTTAGTCTGGCTGCAGTCTTGTGCACTCTGATTTGGGAGTAAGCAGGGCTATTTTTGGGCAGGAACGCACAGGAACGGAGTTCCGGCTGGCTCCCAAGTTGGCCACGCCCAGCAGGAACTCATTAGCATAATAGGCCACACCCAACAGCAGGAACTCATTAGGATTGGCTACGTTAGGGGTGTGTGGCCTAACATGCAAAGGAGTTCCTGCTACAAAAAAGCCCTAGGTTTTGACAACAAGGTAAACAGAATAACAAGCAAAAGGTGGGTGTAGCTGGATAACCACACTTCTGGTAACATGGGGGTGCGGCCTAATGTGCTAATGAGCTGTGCTGTCAGGGGTGTGGCCCAATATGCTAATGAGTTCCTGCTGTTGGGTGTGGCCTATTATGCTAATGAGTTCCTGCTGGGCTTTTTCTACAAAAAGAGCCCTGGGAGTAAGCCTTCTTAAAATCAATGGGACTGGCTTCTGAGTAAGACTGTTTAGGATGAAGGCAGAGATGGACCATCGACACTGAACTGTTGACTTGATACCCCCTCCCCACTGCACTACCTGTCCCGTTTAGGATGTCAGACTGATGGAGGAGGGCAGGTTCCAGTACTCCCTGGGTGATCCTGAGTCTATCTCAGCCCAACCTGCCTTGGCCTTACTAGGTTAAATAGTGTTCAAATACGTACTCAAATGAAACCCAGAAGGCCTCTCATTGTGCAGGGGGCTGCTGCCCTCCGGGCTTTTCTTGCCCAGGGATCGAAGGCTGCCAGCCTGGCCCTCTAGAGGGTATGTTGGCTTAGAAATGGGGAGACCAGGGGTCAGATTTGCTCTTGCCATGGCACTTGCAGGGTGACCCTGGGCTGCTCTGGCTCTAAACCTACAGGGCTGTCCTGAGGATAAAAGGGAAGAGGCCAGAGCAACTTATGGGGCACCAAGGCTCTTGGAGGAAGGGAGTGATGAAGATGTGCTAAAATAAATGGGACAGGGAGAGAACTGGGAAGGGAGCCCAACAAAGTGGAAGGAGGAGATGGGAGAAAGCCAGGCAGGTCTTCCTGTGCTCCACAGGCCTGGGAGGAAGGAGGAGGGGGCTGGAAAAGGGCTCTGGGGCCAGGCGGAGGGCTCTTTGTCATCCGATGTGGGTTTACTGGAGTTGCCTAAACTAAGAGCCCCCCTGCCCTGACCCTTTGCAGAGGAGGACCCCAAAGGGGGGGGGGAGGGGGACACTGCGGGCTTTTTAGTCATGCTTCTCAGTCAAACGGTAGCCGGGCGCTCCTTGGGAGGGTGACTAATAGCGGCCAGGCTCGGCGGAGCTCCCTCCCGGCGCCCAGGCCCTCCGAGGTGCCGCGGGGTCAGAGGGGACAAGGGGGGCTCCGGAGAGCCGCCTCCTTTGATCTGGCTGCGGGGAGGAAGGCGGCGCTTTCCAGCCCAGGTGGCGGCGGCGGCGGCGGGGCTCGGCTTCGGAGGCGGGCGGCGCTCCCTTGGGGTGGCCGAAAGGGGCGGGACGGCAGGCACCGACGACCGGGGCG